GTGGAGTGAGAAATAAGATAGTCGAAGAAGGATGGAACCCAGATTTCTTTGTGTATACTTCTTCATATTGTTTTGATTTCTGAATCTTATAAACAGATTACTTACATACAACTTAACATTCTAAAAAGTTGACAGAACAAGAAAAAAAGTTGAAAATTCATTGAAAGAGTTTTGTAAACTGAGAAATACTTTATAAGTACCAGTTATTTATTTGAATTTTAGTTGTGGTATAGAATTTAAAACGTGGAATATGATTGTGTGTCCAGATTAAAAAATTATAATCCACCATGCCCACCTTCCTCCCACCCTTCTCCTCCTTCTAAACAATTGTCCTAAAACATTAGGTAGGGCTGAACACGGATGTCAGGTGCTGGAGGCATGGTGGTCCAAAGCAGAATATCAGAGCCCAGGTAGGTTGAGGAGTGCAACATTTACATAAGGTGTTGACTGACACAGGGTGTTAGTGCCCAAGCGGGATGAGGAGGGCATCTATCCTGTGTATCTTGAGCCTGAGGGAAACATCTATGCAGGTGAGGGAGTGACAGGGAATATGAGAGACTAGTTTTATACGAGGGGGTTGATAAAATAAATGTATGTCAAGGAAAATGAGAGACATGTTTTTCTCAGTGTCAGAGACGGGAGTTATAAATAAGGAAAGGGAGAAAACTAGAAGAATCCTGTGATGTTGGATTGGAATTGGAGATATTAGTGTCAACTTATGTTTATATATATATGTACACACACATATATATACACAAACACAATAAATGTAGATATAAACTTCTGTGTGTGTATGTAGACACATACATGTTTTCTCTAGCTGTGTCCACTGAGATTGTCTAGGAACAGTGAGATTCCAGTATAATGGGCATACCTAGCATCTAGATCTTGTTGTCTAAATTTCCTTCTCTGCTAAAAGGAACCAGCACTCCTTGGGGAAATGACTGGTCCCTGGACTGGGACAGGGAAAGAAAAAGATGAGCCTGGAATTTCTTGTACTGAAAGCTTAAAGAATGATGAGAATGTGTCAAAAGGACAACAGAACCCAGCTTGGAGGGGCTCTTACTGGCCAAATCAGGAAAACTTTAGTATAAAAACCAAATAATGATAGTAGCAGATTACAACTCATTGAATAAAATAGGAAACTATGAGTTTATACTAATATAAATGAATAAACTGGAAGTTTGATGAGAAATAGCATATTTATAGCATATAAATATAAACAGCATATAGTTTCATAATCTCCCCTGACAAAAATATTATTAATTACAAAGGAGAAAAGTCTCTTTACAGTGGAAATGCTTGATAGGCACCACCTTAATCAAGTGATCATCAGTATCAAGAATATTATCACTAATGGAACAAATTGAAATCATATGCCACATGATAAGATTCAGTGAGAAGAACACAGTGTTACTTCTGTGATATTACATCCCAGAATGTATAACCTGAATCTTATCATAAGGAAACGTCAGACAAATTTAGCCTGCAAAATAACTGCCCTGTAATCTTCAGAAGGTCAAGGTCATGAAAGTCAAAGAGAGACAGAAACTTTTCCACACTGAAGGAGGCTAAAGATATCTAACAAGTAGGGGCCAGCCCCGTGGCATGGTGGCTAAGTTCACACGTTCCACTTCAGTGGCCTGGGGTTTGCTACTTCAGATCCCGGGTGCGGATCTACGCACTGCTTGTCAAGCCAAGCTGTGCTAAGCATCCCACATATAAAGTAGAGGAAGATGGGTAGGAATGTGAGCTCAGGGCCAGTCTTCCCCAGCGAAAAGAGGAGGATTGGTGGCAGATGTCAGCTCAGGGCTAATCTTCCTCAAAAAAAAAAAAAACATATATAACAAATGTAGTGCAAGATTGTGAATTAGATCCTTTTGCTGTATAGAACGTTATTTAGAGAGCTGGCCAAATTTTAATGGAGTCTGGGGATTAGGTGGCTATGATGTATTCACGATGAATTCTGGAGTTTTTGCCTGTGTTGTGGTTACATAGGGGAATGTCGTTTTTTGTAGGAAGTACACATTAAAGTAGTCAGAGTTGATGAGTCAACTTGCTCCCATTTGGTTCAGAAAAAAAATGAACTGAACTTCCAACTTGTTTATGTGATTGTTTGAAAATGTGAAAAAAGTTAATAAAAATTATAGTCTATTTATAAAAAGCCAGGGTTTTTTTCCAGTCATGTTTATAACATTTCTTATGCATAAGTAGGGTGTGTTATTTGTTTTTGTGGATTAAAAATAAAATATGGCATCACTTCCCTTAGGAATGAAAGTAAAATAGTAAGAAGAAAACTAAACCCTTTTTGCCCTACAATTTTGCTCATAGAAGACCTGTGTCTACTTGAGGGTTGCTGACTCTCCCTGGCCCCTCACTACACCATCTTCCACTGAAGTTGTTGCTGTTTGGTTTCAAAAAAGCCGTGACTTCAGAATGGAAAAGAGAAGAGATACTGGACAGCTGGGGAGCTGTGGGAGAAAGGAGAGTGTGTGTGTGTGTGTGTGTGTGTGTGTGTATTTATGTATGTATGTATGTGAGAGCTTTTGTGTACACTGTTACACACGCTTTTATACTTCAGTCCTGGAACTGGTGTATGTTTGTCCCTTTCCTCTCTCTAGCAAATTGCGTCTTGATTCAGAGGTTGGACATACATAGTTCCCTCAGCCTGGAATGTCTTTCTAGCCCTCCCGCTCTTCTTCTTTCACCTTAACTCCTCTGCTTTTTTTAAAGTAGTCTCAACTTAAACGTCACTTCCTTGATCTCTCTAGACTAAGTTAAGTCCTTTCTTGGGCAATTTACTTAAGCATCTTAGTTCGTTAACCTCTTCATCTGTAAAATGGGCGTAATCATAGTACCTACTCCGTAGAGTTGTTATGGGGACTAAAAGAGTAAACATATGTAAAACAGAGTAGTACCTTGCCAGATGGTAAGTGCTATATGAGTTAGAAGGTGCTATCATTATTTTATTAGACATATTTAAAATATATATTTCATTATACATATTTGTCTAATTATTTGTTAAATGTCTGTTTCCCATGTTAGATTCTTAGTTCCATGAGGAAAAGGACTGTCTTTTATTCACCTCTATTTACCAGTTCTTGTTACACATAGTAATCAAATACTTTTGTTGACTGATAAAATGGTAGTTGGTAATTATGGATAAGTCAGGCCAACTGGATTTTGACTCTAAGTGTATTATAGCCTTACTAACTTTTATAACCTTGGTGAAGTTACTTAACCTCTCTGGGCTTCAGATTTGTCATTAGTAAAATTGGATTATAATATCTACCACACTGAGTATTATAGAAAATATACTTAAAGGCCTAGTATTTTGTTGGTGGTCAATAAGTAGTAAAATTATTAAGATGTGGCCAAGAATATCCATACTAAAAATGCCAATATTTTAAGCAGGTGTTTAAATGAAATAATATAAATAGACATATCTAGTGAAGTTCCTGATTCCAGAGTAGGCATTCGATTATGTTAACTCCCTTACTTTAACTTTTTTCCTGATAATATTTATAACTACAAATCAGCAACCATATGCTAGTTTTCTAGACATTGTTTAGGACGCTTAATATGTTTATTTATATATAAGTATACAATCACACACACCCACACTCCTTACATGTCATGAATAATCTACTCACTAGATAGAGTTTTTCTCCACATTAAACAAATAAGGCTTAGAGAGGTCAAGTAGCTTGCCCAAGGAGCCAGGATTTAAATTTAGGTCTGTTTAGTTTTAAGCCCTTGTTTTCACTTTACTATACTGTCTCTTTACATTTTTGGTTAGAGATGATTTTGGAATTACCAGAGTTCTCTTTTTTAATGCCTTGGTGATGATGGCAACTATAAAACAATTAGTCTTCAAAAAATTGTGATTGCAATCAGATTACTTCTTCTTAAAACCTACCTTAGATATTTACATGGAAGAGTGGACATACTGGTGTCTGTGATCAAGCACTGGATTACTTTTAGGAGTATCAAAGACCGTAATGGATTGCAACTTTGATAGTTGTGAGCAGTGAAACCTCTAGAACCTTTTGGGGGGGAGGAGGAAAGCAAGAGGCATAAAGAAAAATAAATAGAAATATATTCTTCTTCCATACTAGACTGCACAACCTTCTGGTCCTGAGCTTAGCTCTTATTAAAAATTGAACTATTCAATACATAAATACATTCTCACCTATCTCCACCTCCTCCTAGGGGGATGTCTGTCCACCTTCTGATGTATAGCAGCGCGGGTCTCTCATGCATCCTGAGGTGCTGTGTGGATATCCTTAGTTGACCGATGAATGTCCAATTAGTTGTAGTTCGAAGGGGGAGAGACAAAGAAAACTGCTCACTCTGCCATGTTACTGACGTCACCCATAAATACATTCTCATTTTAGAAAATTAAACTTACATATGTGTACGTATAGTAAAATATTAAAGTCTCATGCATTTCTCCTCCCATCCCTACATCTCTCCCCAGAAGTATTTTTCTATAAAAATGTCACTTATGTTAACTTGTAATGAGTATGCTGTTATATTTAAGTGGATAAACATTTTTAAATTTCTCAGTTTTAATTTCTAATATGGGAAAATATTGATATAACTCACATAAACAAAAGCCCTTTGATGTCCTTAATAATTTTTAAGAACATAAAGAGGTTTTGAGACCAAATAATTTGAAAATTGCTGCAGTGTATTATTTGTTTACTAGTATTGAACATTGTGTAGACCATAGTAATACAGAAAAATTCCCATGATTTAATAATGTGGTAAGAAAAGCACAATACAAACTCCACAAATAATATAATTATTAGATGAAGAATAGAAAAGAATACTGGAGAAAATATAGTCAAATGCACATAGTAATTATATTAAGATTATATTATTTTGAATGATTTCATCTTTAGTTTTTCCAAAGGTGTTTTTTTACTATAATTAAATTTGTATATGGTGGAAAATCTGCTGAAATATGAAGAGGAATGATAATATCTCTATTTCAGAAACTTTGTAGTGATGCTCAAGTTAAAGTCTTTGGGAAATGCTGCCAACTGAAACCTGGAGGAGACAGTTCTTCCTCTTTGGATAGTTCTATGACTTCATCTTCTGATGTAAAAGACCAGTGTCCTAAGTACCAGGTAAGATCACTGATGTCATTTATTTATTCATTCATTCTCAAATATTTTTGACTACCTCCGAAGTGTTGTGCACCATCCTAGGGACTGCGGATATATAACAGGGACTAGTCGTTACCCTCCTGGAGCTTATATTGTAGATAGGGAAACAGATAATTAAACGACTCAGTTTATGAACTTTGATAAATTTTAGGAGAGGGGAAGTACAGAGAGCTATGGACATAGGTAATGAGGGTATTTTCTCCATCTTTTATTTCCCAATTCAGATTTTTTGGGCTACCAGAATAATTTCTTATTTTATATACTTTGTAATTATAGAAATATAAAGATAAGTATAAAATAATACAGTTCAGCTATAGTATGAAATTAAAGTATGATTGGAAATATACACAATCAGAAGTGTACATTTTTATTTTTCAAAAGTAATGTGGCTCTTCTAAAATAGAGAATTAAATCAGTAACTACATAGTAACTTCTATATAAACTCGTTTTATGTAAGATTGGTGTTTGGTTTCATACTAATAAACAAATGTCATCTGATGTGAATTTATTTGTGTCATCCAGGCTTGCATGAATGAATCACAAGTATTTTATATTTAGCAGTACCAAAATAGCATCCTGGGCTTTTTAATTATTTGTAATTATGTAATTGTGTTTGGATGGAAATTGACCCCTATACCATAACAAGAGCTCTGAAGTTATTAAAATCCAGATATTAGGAGGTACTGCATAGTTCCTCCTGTCCTTCTCTATTCCTCCTCCACCTTAGGCATGATACCTTAACAAGTTCCTAATAGTGCTATGCTATGTAACATCATCATACTTAAGCAAATTTGGATGTTTTTGAATTTGATCAATTGTGCAAACTTGCTTTTCTTCCCAATATAATGCAGTTAAAAATGAATGTTAGCAAACGGATCCAGATTGTAGAAACCCTGAAGCAATGAGTGATTGTAATCTCATTTTGCATCACAATCCCTAGAGATTTTTTTTTAAAGTACAGATTCATAGGTCATGCGTCCAGATACTCTGATAGTAGGTTCAGTATGGTACTGGAAATCTGCTTTTTTAACAAGAAACCATTGAATTATTGTAGCATATAGTTCACTGCACTTGATAAATTGTGATTTTAGATAATAAGGACATTATCTTTGATTTACAGAGATTATTAGCTTCCAGCAATGAGTACTTGCAAAAAGTACTCTTAAATAAGAGCCTTAAAAAAAGGCATTAGAGATAATAGCATTTTCTTAATGATAACCTTTATAAATAGATTGTCACATTAAAGTATATAACATACCAGTAACATTCATGATTATTATTTGGTATATATTAGAGCAGGCAAAGAGAACCTTTAATAACAAACTATATGGTCTCATAAAATTTAAACATCAATTTATTTTTTACTGCATTTTGGTTTCTGAGGGTTCTTTCCTATTTATAATAGTAAAATCTATAAGTGCCTTGATATTTAAATTCATATATCTGGCTTAATATAAGAAATACTAATTTTAGTCAGACTAAGAATGAAGTTAGATGTGTTACAGCAAAAACAAGCTTGTAAGAGAAGGCTCTCATTTCTCTCATTAGCCGGAAGCAATTTAGGTTGCCAAGTCTGATTGGCAGTGATCTTTAAAAAAAAAAAACAAAACTACTTGATCATTAAATTATTCTACTCTATTTCTAAAATGTTCTTGATATCCAAACCTCTGTGCCTTGAGATAAAAATTTTATCTTAACCAAATCACAAGAATGGATGGATTGCTTATTTTTACTAACCTAGGTATATCAGAAGTGATTTTTTTCCTTAAAAATTAGCTTTGTGCCTTTATTAAAACAAAATTTAGACTACAGCACTAAGAAAAAACAATATATAAATGATTATATATAAAAACCAATATAAAAATAGTTATGTATAGTGAAATGGATTGCTATTTGAAGATGTCTTTTTTAAGAAAGATGACAAAATGTAAATATATAGATTTTTAAAACCCAAATAGGCAATACATAAGCAAAAGAATAAAAGAATCACATTATGAAAAGAAAAATAGTGTGCAGATATATTCGCTGGCCTCCACTTGCAAAAAGGGGATCCTTGTCACTTTGTTATTATTGTCAGAAGAATCTTTTAAGTATTTTAAAAAACTGATTCCTGGTTTTCCGTGATGGACTGGATTTGTGAAATTTGTGAATAATTTTCATTTACTATCTTAGACAATCCTGTTATTTAGGTCATCTTCCTCATCAGTTGTTTTATTATATAATTGTATCAGTTAGGAATTGCACTGGGACACCTTTAAAACAATGGCTTAAACAAATTAGGAATTATTTTCCTCATATGACAAGAAGTCCGGAGGTTGGCCATAATAGATATGGTATATGGGCTTCAAGATGGCCTCAAGAGACCAAGTCTCCCTATCTTTATACTTAGCCAGAATTAATGTGTAATTTGTTGCCTTGTGGTCCTCATATGGCATTTCCATCTCCAGTGACTTCCATTTATATCTCATTGACCAGGCCTGTGTTGAATGCATATAAATGGATAGTTTTGAAAGCTGCTACTCCATGCATTAGTTTAACCCTTTGAATATAGAAACCAACTCTAACTTAGCCTATTTACAAAGGAGGCTCTGAAATGCGATTTTTTTTCGGTTGGGCCCATTGCTGCCCTGAAGCAAATTGAACTTCAAAAAATAAGGAATGAGATATTGGTAGGTAATTAGTGATATTTTTCATAGTATCTAAATACTATGAGTATTTGGATGATTGAGTTCAATTTTTAGATTTTTTCTAACTCCTATGAGGACAATTAAAGAATAATGGAAAAGGATAACTTTTAATCAGAGTTATTTGAAAACAAGACATTCTAATGTTTCAAATAAGTCCTTTTTAAAAAAATACAAAATAGTACAAGTTACCCCTTTTATGAATGTCTCTTTTCTACAATAGGAGTGGTAAAAACTGTTCTGCATGTTTGGTAAATTCTGCTTCTTATTGTCCTGAAGAAACACTGCTTATGCATAAGATGTGGTTAAGAATGTGTATTTAAGCATTATTTGTAATAGTGGAAACCTAAAAGTGACCTAAATGCCTGTCAGTAAGGGGAACTGCTTGATAAACTGTGGTGTTTTCGTACAGTAGAATACTGTGCAGCTCTTAAAAGTAATCTGTGTATAACAAAATGGTTAGATCTGTAAGAAATTGTGAAATGAAGAAAGTCAAGCTGCAGAACAGTGTGTACAATATAGAATCAGTTTTTTTAAAAACCCATTATGCAGGATATCTATAGCAAAGGAATTTTTAATAAAAATTAATATTTGAAATAGTTACAAGGTTTTAAATTCTGCAGTTTTATGAATGTTATGATTATTGTTTAGGGTTCCCGGTGCTCTTCTGATGCCAATATGCTTGGAGAGATGATGTTTGGCTCAGTAGCAATGAGCTACAAAGGATCCACCTTAAAAATTCATCAGATCCGGTGAGGGATTTTCTGATATTTCTTAAGGAATCCATTTTAGAATATTTAATTTTTTTGAAGATGAGAAAATTTCTTATAGTCTTCACTCAGGTTGCGTATGTCAGATACTCAGTTTATGATATTCTGTAGGTTTAGTGCTGCTTCATGGCTGTTGTCACTATGCTGTGAAATCTGTGACTTGCACATTTTTATTTATTATTAATTGAAAAAGTCCTTGTGTTTTAGTTTTGATATCTTTCTGTCCCTCCCTTTTTCTTCATAGTTCCCCTCCACAGCTTATGCTCAGCAAAGTTTTTACTGCACGGACTGGCAGCAGTATCTGTGGAAGTCTCAATACGTAAGTAGTTGTGGATGCAGGGAGAAATGAATTATTCAAGACGTGCAGAGTATGAAAAAGTAACAGACTCCTCTCAGGATTGCAGCTTAAATGCAGATTTTCTTCCATCTCTTAATTTTGAAAGTTTATAAAGGCCAAATTTTTTCTCTCAGCTTTATTGCGATATAATTGACGTGCAACATTGTGTAAATTTAGGTGTAACACATGTTAATTTGGTACATTTATATTTTGCAAAATGGTTACCACCATAGCATTAGCTAACAACTCCATCCTCTCACATAATTACCATTGCTTTTTTATGGTGACAATATTTAAGATTTACTCTCTTAGCAACTTTCAAGTATATAATAAAGTATTATTTTAGCTATAGTCAGCATGCTGTACATTAAATCCCTAGAAGTTGTGAATCACATAACTGAAGTTTGTTGTACCCTTTGACTATTCTCTCTCCATTCCCCCACCCAGCCCCTGGTAACCACCACTCTGCTCTCTGTTTTGCTGAGTTTGGCTTTTTTAGATTCCATATGTAAGTGATACCATGTAATATTTGCCTGTCTCTATCTAACTTATTTTACTTAGCGTAATCCCCTAAAGGTTCATTCAAATGGTAGTAAATGGCAAGGTTTCTCTCTTTTCTCATGGATGAATAACATCCATTGTATATATTTATGACTTTTTTTAATCTATTCGTCTAGTGACAGACAAATTGTTTCCTTATATTGGCTATTGTCAGTAATGCTGCATTGAACATGAGAGTGCAGATATCTCTGAGATCCTTATTTGAATTCCTCTGGATAAATTCCCAGGAGTGATATTGCTGGATCATATGGTAGTTCTATTTTTAATTTTTTGATGACCTTCCATACTGCTTTCCATAGTGGCTGTATCAATTTACATTCTCAGCAGCAGGGCACAAGGGTTCCCTTTTTTCCACACCCTCGCCAGCACTTGATAGCTCTTGTCTTTTTGATGATAGCCATTCTAACAATCATGAAGTGATACCTCGTGATTTTGATTTGCATTTCCCTGATGATTAGTGATGTTGAGCACCTTTTCGTGCACCTGTTGGCCGCTTGTATGTGTTATTGGGGAAGCTGTCTTTTCATTTCTTCTGAATATTCAGAGAAACTATTCATTTTTCAATCAAGTTTGTTTTTCTGCCATTGATTTGTTTGAGTTAAATATATATCTATATCCCTTATCAGGTAAATGATTTGTGAGTACATTCTCCCATTCCATAGTTGCCTTTTCATTTTGTTGATTGTTTCTTTTGCTGTGCAGAAGCTTTTTAGTTTGATGTAGTCCCACTTATGTATTTCTGCTTTTGTTGCTTGTGCTTTTGGTGTCATAGCCAGCAAATTGCTGCCAAGACCAATGTCAAGGACCTTTTTTCCTGTGATTTTTTCCTAGGAGTTTTATGGTTTTGAGTCTTATGTTTGTCTTTAATCCATTTCAAGTTTATTTTTGTGAGTGGTGTAAGATAGGATTCCAGTTTCATTCTTCTGCATGTGGTTATCTGGTTTTTCCAACACCATTTATTGAAGAAAATCTTTTTTCCTCATTGAGTATTCTTGGCTCCCTTATCAAATATTAGGGGTTTGTTTTGGGCTTTCAGTTCTCTTCCATTGGTCTATGTGTCTATTTTTGTGCCAGTACCGTACTATTTTGATTACTGTAGCTTTGTAGTATAGTTTGAAATCCAGGAGTGTGATGCCTCTAGCTTTGTTCTTTTTAGGATTGCTCTGGCTATTTGGGATCTTTTGTGGCTCCATACAAATTTGAGAATTGTCTGTCTATTTCTGTAAAAAATGCCATTGGAATTTTGATAGAGATTGCATTGAATCTATAGATGGCTTTGGGTAGTATGGACATTTTAACACTATTCGTTCTTATGATTCATGAACATGGAATATTTTTCCATTTGTGTCTTCTTCTATTTCTTTCATCAAAGCCTTGTAGTTTTTGGTGTGCAAGTCTTATACCTCCTTGGTTAAATTTATTCCTAAGTATTTTATTGTTTTTGATGCTATTGTGAGCAGAAGTTTTTTCTTTATTTATAGAAGTGCAACTGTTTTCTGTATGTTGACTTTGTATCTTGCAGCTTTACCGAATTCATTCTAGCAGTTTCTGGGTGGAGTCTTTAGGATTTTCTGTATATAAAAATTAGATCACCTGCAAACAAAGGCAGTTTTACTTCTGTCTTTCCTATTTGGATGCCTTTTATTTCTTGCCTAATTCCTCTGGCTAGTACTTCCAGTACTGTGTTGAACAGGAGTGGTGAGAGTGGGCCTTCCAGTCTTGTTCTTGATCTTAGACGAAAAGCTGTCAACCTTTCACCATTAAGTATGATGTTGGCTGTGGATTTTTCTCATCTATGGCCTTTATTGTATTGAAATATGTTCCTTCTATAGCCACTTTGTTGAAGATTTTTCTCATGAAAAGGAGGTTGTATTTTGTTAAATGCTTTTTCTGCATCTATCAAGATGATCGTATCGTTTTTCTTTTTCATTCTGTTAATGTGGTGTAGCCAATTTATTGCTCTGGCTTTGCATATATTGAACTATCCTTGCTTCCCAGGAATAAATCCCACTTGATCATGATGAATGGTCCTTTTAATGTGCTGTTGAATTTGGTTTGCTAATATTTTGTTGAGAATTTTTACATCTATGTTCATTAGGGATATTGTCTGTAATTTTTTTCTCTTGTGGTGTCCTTATCTGGCTTTGGTGTCAGGGTAATGTGCTTCATAAAATGAGTTTGAGAGTGTTCCCTCCTTTGATTTTTGGAAGTATTTGAGAAGGATTAATGTTAATTCTTCTTTAAATGTCTGGTAGAATTTACCACAGTGAAACCATCTGGTCTTTGCTTTTCTGTGTTGGGAGGTTTTTGATTACTGATTCAGTCTCCTGACTCCTTATTGTCTGTTAAGATTTTCTATTTATGATTCAGTCTTGATAGGTTGTATGTTTCTAGGAATTTATCCATTTCTTCTAGGTTATCCTGTTTGTTGGCATATAATTATTCATAGTATTCTTTCATGATTCTTTTTATTTCTGTGGTTTTAGTTTTTAACGTCTCCTCTTTCATTTCTGATTTTACTTATTAGAGTCCTCTTTCTTTTTTTTTTTTTCTAAGGTAGTCTAGCCACTTGTCAGTTTTGTGTATCTTCAGTTAACCAGCTTTTGGTTTTATTGATCTTTTCTATTATTTTTCTGATCTCTTTCATTTATTTCCCCTCTGATCTTTGTCATTTCTTTCTTTCTGCTAACTTTGTTCTTTTTCTAGTTCTTTGAGGTGTAAAGTGAGGTTGTTTGAGATCTTTCTTGTTTCTTAATGTAGGTATTTATTACTATAAACTTCCCTCTTAAAACTGCTTTTGCAATATCCCATAGATTTTGATATTCTGTGCTTCCATTTTCATTTGTTTCAAGATATTTTCTGATTCTCCTTCTGAGTTCTTCTTTGACCCGTTGGTTGTTCAGGAGTGTGTTGTTTAATCTCCACATATTTGTGAATTTTCCAGCTTTCCTCCTGTTATTGATTTCCAATTTCATACCATTGTGGCCAGAAAAGATACTTGGTATGATTTCGGTCTTCTTAAATTTGCTAAGACTTGTTTTGTGATTTATCATGTGATCTGTCCTGGAAAATGTTCCATGTGCATTTGAGAATGTGTATTGTGCTACTGTTGAGTGGAATATTCTGTGTATATCTGTTAGTTCCATTTGGTCTAAAGTATAGTTCAAATACAGTGTTTCTGTGTGGATGGTCTATCCATTGTTGAAAGTAGGGTACTGAAGTCCTCTACTATTATTGCATTGTTGTCTGTTTCTTCCTTTAGTTCTGTTAGTATTTGCTTAATATGTTTAGGTGCTCTAATGTTACGTGCATATATATTTATGATTGTTATATCTTCTTGATGAATCGTTTCCTTTATCATTATATGACCATGTTTTTCTCTTGTTACCATTTTTGACTTAAAGTCTATTTAGTCTGATGTAAGTATAGCTACTCCTGGTCTCTTTTGGTTTCCACTTGTATGAAATATCTTTTCCTGTCCCTTTACATTGAGCCTATGTGGTCCTTAAAGCTGAAGTGAGTCTCTTGTAGGCAGCATATTGTTGGGTCTTGTTTTCTTATCCATCCAGCCTCTCTGTGTATGGAGACCAGATTGCTTCCTCGTTTGAGTTTAATTGAAGAACAGGAAATGTGGTTTCTCTTTCTCTAATTTGCTAGAAGCTATATCAGGAGGTAAAATGTTGAATGCATTTCCATGTTAGGTTGACATGCTGATTTTCCATTTTGCAGTGCCATACTGAGTTAACATCTGTAGATTGTGCTCTTCAGTTTTCAGATCCTCTGCAGAATTAATCCTACAGTCAGGAGTGGCCTAGGTCAGCCATATGGTGGGCACAGAGATATTACAAGTTGTTAGTGCCAAGAGTAGAATAGCAAAGCTGAAGCAAGGGAAGGCCTGATCTCAGGATCATGGGCTACATGCCAGAATGTAGTAAATGATGGACTGGGGCTAGGGTGAGGTGGTGGTGGACCCCAGAAATGGATTCTGCAGGTGCCAAATCAGAACTGGCTAGCCAGAGTCCGTGGGGGTACCCAAAGTCAGAAATAGCAGGAGGTAGGAAGGAGCCTACTCTAAACTGGAGAAATTTTCAGGAGTCTCCCCCTTAATTGTAAATGCTCTAAAAAGACGACTGAGGGGTTTTATTAGCTAAGGTTCTGATACCTGTAGCTCAACTTAAACTTTTCTTTTAGGAAGGAAGGAAAGGGAGAGAGGTTTTTTACAACATCATGGACACTTAAAAAATTTTGATAGCAGGGCCCGCCCGGTGGTGCAGCAGTTAAGTGCGCACGTTCCGCTTTGGCAGCCTGGGGTTCACTGGTTTGGATCTCAGGTGTGGATGTGGCACTGCATGACAAGCCATGCTGTGGTAGGCGTCCCATATATAAAATAGAGGAGGATGGGCATGGATGTTAGCTCAGGGCCAGTCTTCCTCAGCAAAAAGAGGAGGATTGGCAGCAGCTAGCTCAGGGCTTATCTTCCTCAAAAAAAATTTTTTTTTGATGCCATAAGTACTGATTGTTTTTTCCTCTTTTTTTTTTTGCTGAGGAAGATTTTAGCTGTACTTCCCTCAATTTCTTCATCTTTTCTAAATTCTAATTGACGGTTTTTTGTTTTTTGTTTTTTTTTGAGGAAGATTAACCCTGAGCTGACTGCTGCCACTCCTTCTCTTTTTGCTGAGGAAGGCTGGCCCTGAGCTAACATCTGTGCCTATCTTCCTCTACTTTATATGTGGGACACCTACCACAGCATGGCTTGACAAGTGGTGCCATGTCCGCACCCGGGATCTGAACCGGTGAACCCCGGGCTGCCAAAGTGGAACATGCGCACTTAACTGCTGTGCCACTGGACCAGCCCCTAATTGACAGTTCTTAAAATCTCTAGGAAGGGTACTTTATATTAAAAGCATAAAGTAGTTTTATATTTGTTATTCTGGAAAATTTACTAAAAGAAATAATATAAGCCATTTATAATGTGTAGACTAAAGATACTTTTTGGATATTTGGTTGATTTTAGTTCTTTTTTTTTTTCCTGCCAGAAGTTTAGAAAACATTTTTAGGTCCAAAATATGAGGGGAAACTTTGTAATTTAAATCAAGGTCAGTAACCTTTTCCTGTAAAGGTCTAGATAGTAAATATTTTTGGCTTTGTGGGCCAGATAGTATGTTGTAGTTTCTCAGCTCTGCCATTATAGCATTAAAGCAACCCTATGCAATACATAAATGAATGGGTGTGGCTCTGTTCCAGTACAACTTTTTTTGCAAAAACAGACAGGAGACTGGATTTAGCCCTCAGAGTATAGTTTGCCAAACTCTGATTTAAAGTATTAATTAGTTTATAGTACTAACAGGGAAACAAAAGTTAAAAAACTGTTTTGCACTTAAATTTCATTGGGATGTACAAAGAATTACCATTAAGAGCATAAAATGATTTTGAAATTTATTTTTTTCTCCTCCTTCTTAGGCTACAAGACAGTCTTGAATTCATCAATCAGGACAACAGTACATTAAAGGCTGATAATAACACAGTTATTAATGGACTACTTGGAAATATAGGTAAATGGTTTGTCTAGTTTTATAAGTTTAAAAAATGTTAACAGTATAACAAGAATTTGCAGTTCTTTCTAAATAATGTAGATCTTATGTAAGACCAAAGAGTTTGAAATACCAGAAGTAGAAAAGGCATTTAAATTGCAAGTATGTATAACATTTGTATTATTTGACAAACATAATTTTCATATATTTGAACATAACATTTATTTTGTATCTGAAAAAAGAGAATTACTGAAGATATATCTAATTTGTTTTTTGTTTTTAACTTTGATGCATCTTTGAAAGGCACTGTCATTGATATAAAAAGCCCTTACTCGCTGTTTTGAATATTTCAGCTGAAGAAGACTGGTATTATACTTTCTCCGTTCTCTCTTCCCTAACCATAAAAGTAATTTTAAAATGGTCCTTATTTTTATGACCTGTAGTTCACATGAGCAGATATTAAAATTTGATGTTCCTTAAAGATTTATTAGAATAACAGCTTATTTACTAATTTGGTTAGTTGATCGTTATTATTTAAGTTCAATATTTTGAAGTGCCAAACATCTTTCTAAAATTTCTGGTCATTTGTTTTATCCTAGAAAGCTTAACTAAATTGCTGCTGACCAAATTTCCAGTCATAAAGAAATGTAGTATATTAAAGAGTGAATGGCAGTTAGAATAGGATGAATATTTGTCTCATTCCCTGTTTAGTGAGACTTTTTATTTGTAATAATTTTAATAAATATTTATTAGTTATATGTACTAGTAAAAAACAGATTTTTCTTCTACCTTGAACATATAACATTCTATTATTTTTTATAATTTATGTTCATTCTATTGAACAAGTGTTAAGCACCTACTGTGGGTTAGTTTCAGCGTCAGGCATGTACTTTAGAAAGTGCGTATCTTTTATAGAAAACTAGATATTCTGCTTTTTCTTAACTCACTTATTATTTCACTGGTTTTAATAAGGTAAAAATGTGACAAGGAAATAATCTTTTTTTTACTAATTTAACACTTTTCAAAGCTCAAGGGGCTTATTAAAAGCTATTTATTTTAATATGAATCCATTGTCACTTATAAAGATAAATTACACTGTAGATGCTAGGTAAATTCATTTTCTCTGTTTTCATGTAGAATAGGAAATTACTCCATTTAACAAAGTACAGACTTTAAATAATGAACGGCTTTCACTTACTCATTCTTAATTGTGAATCAAGGATATTTGAGCACCATTTCTTTTCTTTCTTTTTTTTTTTTTTTAATTGCTTTTTCTCCCCACATACCCCCAGTACATAGTTGTATATTTTAGTTATGGGTCCTTTCTAGTTGTAGCATGTGGGGTGCCACCTCAACATGGCCTGATGACTGGTGCCATTTCCGCACCCAGGATCCAAACTGGTGAAACCCTGGGCCGCGGAAGCAGAGCATGGAAACTTAACCACTCGGCCACGGGGCTGGCCCCCGAGCACCATTTCTTATTTTCTTTAAATTTCCAATTAATCAACAAATACCTATCAAGCACCTGTTATATGCCAAGCACTCTACTAGGCCCTGAGGTACGTTGGTGAAGCAGACACTGTTCCTGCTTCAGTGGATTTATAGTTAGTGGGAATAAGACAGTAACTGTATACAGTATTTGATTCTGTATACAGTATACTGTAGATGATTCTTGGACAGGATTAAGAGCATAGTGTGATAGAAAAGAGGAGGAGCACCTTATTCAGTCCTGGAGAGTCAGGGAAAGCTTCCTTGAATACATGAGGCCTAAGCTTTGAAGGCTTAGCCTGATGGTTGGGGAAAGAAATATTCTATGAAAAAGCAATAGCATGTGCACAGACCTCATAGACTATGGGAGAAAATGTGAATAAATAAGTGTGGATAAAGCAAAGAATAGGAGTAAAGGAAGTGGAAAGAAAGAAAGTGAGCAAGAGCCGGATCACAAAGGGTGCAGTGGGCCACACCGAAGAATTTGGACTTAGGTTTGAGCAGTTAGGTACCAGTGTAAGCAGTGGATCTCAAACTTTATGGTCTCAGGACCCCTTTATACACTTAGAAATTATTGAGGATCACAGAGAGCTTTTGTTTATGTTGGTTACATTTATTGATATATACATTAGAAATTAAAACTGAGAAAATTTAAAAATATTTAGTAATTCATTAAAAAATAACACAACCCCTTTCATATTCGTACAAATAACCTATGTTTTGAAATAACTATTTTCTAAGACAAAAACAAAATTTGATGAGAAGAGTGGCATTGTTTGACATTTTTGCAAATCTCCTTAATGTGTCTGCCTTAATAGTAGACAGCTGGATTCTCATACCTGCTTCTGCATTCAGTCTCTTGTGATAGGTTGTTTTGGTTGAAGTGTATTAAAATCCAGGCTCACACAGATACGTTATTGGAAAAGCTGTGTCCTTACAGACCCCCTGAAAGGGTTGCAGGGACACCCCCCCTCCAGGGGTCTTGGACCACATGTTGAGAACTACTGAACTCTATAGAATTAGATATATGGACAGAAGGCAGAAGAGTTTTGGCTGTGTTTGGATGTTGATGGAAAAGAAAGTTATAAAGAGCATGAGGTTAAGAGGTGGAGGTAATACTTGGTAAAGTAAGATTTCTGAAGGTCCTAGCTGATGTAGAAGAACTAGTTTTGTAAGGGATGGAGGGAAGGACCTTTCAGGTTTTTTTACTGAATAAGTCCCTAGCACATAGTAAGGTTTGAATAATGTTACCTGTTACTGCTCAGGCAGGAAGGATGCAAGGATGGGTGAGAATTTTATTAAGTTTGGAGATAGGGTGTTGTCAAAAGGAGAGTTACAATCTGATGAATTCTGTGTGTGTACACACGTCTGAACCTGCATCTGCACACAGTAAGAGACAGTCATATGCTGAGAGTAAGGAAGAGGTGGGTAGGGAAGGAGTTTAGAGAGAGTGGATAAATTTTGAAGTAAGTAGGGAGATCTGAGGACCTGAACAATGAAACATGGATGGATTGCTGTACATACACTATAATTACAGGAGTTCTTGTTATAGAAAAGTATCTATTAGAAATTTGAAAAATACATTTTTAACTTTTTAAAACAGAGAGCCCCCTATTCTCTTCTGGGTAAACCTCCTAGATAGCTGTTTAGGCCATGTTGCTTAAGCATAACTGACAAGTAACCCAGCTACTTACTTCCAGGCTATAATGTTGCCCTTTTTGGGTCTTGAGACTCTGTTTTCTCTTGGTCAAGTATGTGGCAGCCACTTTTCTTGGACAGGTGGGAACCTGGCCCTGATGGGGCATTCCTGCTTCTATTCCTGCTTCTCCTGGTCTAGGAACTTTGATTTCTTCCATTACTTTATAACTAATTACTAGATTAGAAAAATGAATTTTCATACTTATTTGTCAGTAGATCCCTTTTATGTATTTGCTCTTTGTTGTATGTTGTGTTCTATTTTCTCAGCCAAATGGTTAGGGGGTTTTTCCCTTACTGCAGTTGCAGGAAAATACGGTAATCTTAAAACTGACTTTTTAAAAGATAAATTTATTTAACAAATGTCAAATTATATGGATAACATTACTGTGCTTTTTTGAATCTTTAAAAACATCACTGTAGATTAGAAAGGATTGAAGATTTATAATAGTTTTTACCTTGTATAGAGGAAGCTTATTTTTATTATTATATACAGATTTATTAGTAAATATGCAGGAAATTATGTTTGACATAAGCCATGACCAGAAGGAAACCTTTCTGTTTCAAAAAAGCGAAGCCAGCTTGAATTACTCTTAGTTAGTTTAAAAGTTTCCATCCGTATCTCTTGGTCTGCTTTTGTGCTGCCTTAGCTCACCCTTTATTCCTGACGCATTGTGGCTTCTCTAACAGCCCTCTTTCATATGTATTTTACGTTTCTGCCATGTAGGTCTTTCACAGTTCTGCAGCCCCAGGCGGGCATTCTCTGAACAGGGTCCGCTCCGCCTGATCAGGAGCGCCTCTTTCTTTGCAGGTTTGCGATGTGCTGTGTGGGTAGACTAGTTGGTGTGCCCAAGAGGCTAGAATCTGTAGTTAAGCTGTGGAAACAAGGGAGTGTATAAATGCAATTGGAGAGGAGTGGTTAAGAAAACATTGCTTAGGAAGTGTAAGAACTTCCTTCCTTTCTATTGAATATGTTCTTAAAATTTCTAGAAACTTTAGGTTATCAGTGGAATTGACATTTCCATGAAATTTTAGTTTGTCATTTCTTATTTCATTATGTAGTAATGATTTTAACTTTAGAATCCTAAACTGAATTTTGGTATGAAAATTATTTCTTAAAATATCAGTTAGAATTTCTAATGTGACACTATCTTGTTTCCATGGCTGAGTAGCTTTTGTATCATAATTCATCAATTGCAGAAAATATCCTATTATCATAAAATTTGTGATCTACACTATTCCGTAAAATGATTTCTCTTGGAGCTAAGATTTAGATGAACAAGCATTATTATATTGCTTTGTAAAAGGCATATATGAGTATGTTTATCTCATTGAATTGATGGGTGTAGAGTGTGTTCAGGCTTCTGTATCCAGGAAGTTTTATCTAACATCTTATTTTAATTAATATTTATTTTCCTTACAAATATGATATATGAACAATACATATTTATTATAGAAAATTTGAAAAATATGAAAAATAGGCAAAAAATACATATTAGCCATCTTGTCAGCCAGAAATAACTTATTTTTTTTTTAAACAAAATTGGGATCATACTACTCACAGTTTTCTTAAAATTTTTATTATGGAGAATTTTTAAACATACATTGATATAAGCAGAATAGTAGAGTGAACTGTCATATACCCATCACTTAGCCTTAGGAACCATTGTTCTTAGTATTCAGTAGCTTTCTTTTTTCCAATTATTAGCATATTGCACATATCCTACTATGTCATTGAATATGCTTCTAAAATACTATTTTAGTCACTTCTTTAGATATTATATCATAGATCGTTTTCATATTATATGTCAAATCTTATGATAGATCTCAAAGCTTGTTCAACTGAATAATAGCTCTTGGTGTTGGGTTTGTGCCATGCTATTGAAAAAAAAATAAAGGAATGCAATGAGATGAGCATGATTTAGTTTGCTATGTAAAAGGAACAACATCAACCTGAATAGCAATGTATTTTATAACTGACAGTTTTATCTTGATTCACAGTTCACAGTAACCCAATGGACATGCCTGGAAGAGAGCTGAATGAGGACAGAGACAGTGGCATAGCACGCTCTGGTAATGCCAGCTTCATGTATTAATACAGTTTTTATGAGATCACTCTTAGCTGACACTGATTTTCTTTTTTATCTTTGCCTTTGCATCCAGTTTTATGTACACAGTTTTTAGTATTGATATTAGTCCTGCAAAAGAATTCTAGAAACAGCAGAGGGAAATATTTTGTATTTGAAAATTTTCATCTTTACTATTAAATGTGCCTGGTGGAACATGGCCTGGATGAATGCACACTGGCTTAGACTTAGCCATTACAAGAAAAAAGTATTGCTGAAGAGATTGCTTAGATAGCATAGTAGAAAAAACACATTTGCTTATATCTGCTTGCTCTTAACTAGAGTTTAAATTGTCAGACTGTCTCTTGCCCAGAAGAGCTTTGGCATTTTGAACAAAGGTTACACATATTTCTTTCAAATATGGACTCTTCCACAATTTGTCTACCAAACTTTTATTGAAACATGGTGAGGATAAAAAAAAAGTAAAGCTCAGATTCTACCCTTAAGGAGCACAGAGTCTCCTGAGAGAAGAGTCAGGAGAATCGTGTGTCATGGTTCTTTGTGTGATATGTTCTCTGATGGACCTGTACAAAGAGGTTCAGAGAATGGGACCTCACTTAGTCCCGGTAAGGGGAAAGGTGCCAGTAATGCTTTACAGAGGGATAATACTTGAGTTGCGTCTTGAGAAATAAATAGGAGTTATACAGGCGAAGGCATGGAAGAAGGGCATTCCAGTTAAAAGGAAAAGTGTTTGTCAGGGCCCAGAGATAAGTGTACATGAAAGGAGGAGTAATCTTAGGCTTGAATTATTGTTAGATATGAGAAACTTTATCTTCTGTGGTTATCCATATGTGTTGTTACATTATAAGACTCTGCAATGTAACTTCTTTACGATTCAGTTTTGAGTTATAGATGGGAAGTCCAAACTTACCATCTATTGTAATCCTAGGTATGCATTAGAATAGCAAGAAGTTTCAAAAAAATTTTCCAGATGCCTGAAGTCTACTCCTGAAGACTCTGATTTAGCCTAGAGAAAGGCTTGGCATCTATATTTGAGAAACAACAAAATGAGAAAGCGCAACACCTGATTCTGATGGACCACTCTAAAATGAAAAGTCTGCATCTTTCACATAATCTCACCCTTCTTGTCTGAGTTTATTTTTGTTCTTAGGAATTAATCTGGAGTATTTTTCTCTTAATACCCTTTGCTTCTGTATAATGTAGAGATTCAGTTTTCTCTTCTGTGGCAGGAATTTAATTCTCATTATTTTATCCAAGATTTTAAGGAGGGTAAATTAATGTCTCTATACTTCATTTTCTTCAACTATAAATTGAAGGGCCTGACTAGATTGATCTGTAAGCCTTCTTCAAGCCGTTAAATTCACATATGCCATTTAAGTTAATTGTGTATTTTCGGCTGTATTCTAATAGGGTTATTTTTAATAACAGAATGTAGTAAAACATAGCTTTTCCACATTTTGAGTGGCATTTGAGTTTTCGTTGAAGCCATACCTGGATTAGTTATATGTACTCAGTCTTAGACTACAAAGTTTTATAGTACTAATTGACAAAATGTGGTCTTTTCAAGAAAGTAGTGTAGAATTAATTCACTGGTGGTACAGATGTTTGCATGGCACGGAAAGCTCTCCCTTTTATCATTTGTCAGAGAAAATTCAAATGAACAGATCTTCATAATGATAGTCTCTTAGTTTTCAGTCCCCATGTCCAAAATAATATGTCATCTGGTATGTATCTTTTCATAGATAATGATAACACTTCCCTGTTTTTGATTACTTTAATTTTCAGTGTGTGGTTGTAAGCATGAAGATGGGCATCTAAAATATCACTTAAACAAAAGCAAGCCCTTAAGGTCTTTTCCTCTCCAGATCCAGTGGGGAGAAGGAAAGGATCCCTAGTCCAAGTAAAAATACAGGGTTGTAGCTTTTGACCCCCAGTCAAGAAACAGAACTTCTGGATTGCACAGAAGGGGTTTTGTGAAGAAAAGAATTCTCACAGTTAGGGGATTGCAGCAGTTATAATCATAGTGGACTCTATTGGAATGTGTCTCTCACTGCTTAGAATGCTCTGGAGAGCAATCTATATGATTTACTTTTTCAGAGCTTAGTTGGTATAGTCATGACTCTTATTAAAAGTGGCCAAGCATTCAGAGGCTTGACTGCCTATGCACAAGCCATCCATGAGTACTTTTAAATGATGTCTTTAAATGACATTCCAACACTTATTTTCAAATATGGCTTTTGTTCTTAAAATCTAGCTGCTGCATTAAAATTGAATCATGTCATATTTCCTTTAATTTAAGAACTAAGGAATCAGTGAAGCTAGGGACAGTCTCATGGCCAAAGGGATAATGCTTTGTTTCAAAGCAGCATTTCTTCTGGGTCAGGGGTGGGGTAAGGATGTCAAAACAGGATTGTCTCAGAGTCTCTTTCCAACACACTGTTAATATATGATTTTTCTCTTTTGAGACCCTGCTCCAACAGTGTTGTTATTTTTTTAAATGGAAATTTTAGAGACTTAAGAAGCAAAATGGAAAGTTGGAGTCACCACTCTTAAATCTGTTAAAAAGAAATTTGCGCTTATGCTTAGTTATTATTGACTTATACTTTATACTTGTTCTTATTCTGACTTGACAGCATCTCTCAGCAGCTTGCTTATTACACCGTTTCCCTCACCAAACTCCTCACTTACCCGAAGTTGTGCTAGCAGCTACCAGCGACGCTGGCGACGCAGCCAAACAACAAGTTTAGAGAATGGGGTATTTCCTAGATGGTAAGTTGGAACCTTCAGTTTATAACAGGATTGAAAAGTTCCTTAAAATTTTATATGGTTTTTTTTAGAGCCTGGATTTGTATTTTGTATATTTTAAGTCTGGAACTGAAAACTTTTAAAATGTATTACTTTTTTTATTGCGATAAGTTATGCATAGTGTAAAATTTACCATTTTAACCATTATTAAGGGTAGAGTTCAGTGGCACTAAGTAGCTCCACATTGTTGTACAACTGTCATCACCGTTCATGTCCAGAACTTTTTTTTCTCTCTCCAGACTGAAACTCTGTACCTGTTAAATAATAACTCCCCATTCCTCCCTCCCCTTAACCCCTGGCAACCACCTTTCTATTTTTAGTCTCTATGAATTTGACTACTCTAGATACCTCATAAAAGTGGAATCGTATAATATTTGTCCTTTTATGTCACCTTAGCATGTCCTTAAAGTTTGTGTTGTAGCATGTATCAGAATTTTATTCCTTTTTATGGCTGAATGATATTCCATTGTATGTGTATACCACATTTGTTTATCCATTTGTCTGTGATGGACTTTGGTTGCTTCCACCTTTGGGTATTGTGAGTAATACTCACAATACAAGTATTGTGAGTAATACTGATATGAACATGAGTATACAAATATCTGTTCGAGTCTCTGCTTTTAATTCTTTTGGGTATTTATCCAGAAGATGCTGGATCATATGGTAATTCTGTGTTTAAGTTTTTGAGGAATTGCCATACTGTTTTCCACAGTGGCTGCCCCATTTTACATTCCCACCAGAAACTCACGAGAGTTCTAATTTCTCCACATCATTGCCAATAGTTATTTTCTCTTTTTTTGGTAATAGCCATCCTAATTGATGTGAAGTGGTATTTCGTGGTTTTGATTTGCATGTCTATAATGGCTGGTGATGTTAAACATGTTTTCATGTGCTTTTTGGCCACGTGTATGTTTTCTTGGGAGAAATGTCTATTAAGTGCTTTGCCTGTTTTTTTTTTTTGAGGAAGATTAGCCCTCAGCTAACATCTGCTGCCAATCCTCCTCTTTTTTGCCAAGGAAGACTGGCCTTGAGCTAACATCCATGCCAATCTTCCTCTACTCTATATGTGGGATGCCTACCACAGCATGGCTTGACAAGCGGTGCATAGGTCCACACCCAGGATCTGAACTGGAGAACCCCAGGCCGCTGAAGCAGAACATGCAAACTTAACTGCTATACTACCGAGTGGGCCCCTGCTTTGCCTATTTGTGAATCAGATGGTTTATTTTGTTGTTGTTGAGTTGTAGGAGTTCTTCATTTATGCTGGGTATTAACCCCTTATCAGATATATGGTTTGCAAATATTTTCTCCCATTTCATGAGTTGTCTTTTCATTCTGTTCATAGTATCCTTTGATGCACAACAGTTTTTAATTTTTATGTAGTCCAATTTATTTTTTTCTTTTGTTGCCTCTTCCTTTGTTGTCATATCCAAGAAATCATTGTAAAATCCAACGTCATGAAGCTTTTACCCTATGTTTTCTTCTAAGAGTGTTATAGCTTTACCTCTTCTCTTTAGGTCTTTGATCCATGTACTGCATGTTTGGATATTTCAATTTTTCATGTTTCTATTTTGGCAAGTTAATTCATTCTTGAAAGATTTTTTTTTATCCTGTGTTAAGGACAACTATAGATGATGAAGCTTCTTATTTTCCCCTTTACTCACTCTCTTTATTCCTTCATTTTTGATTTTATTCTTGGAATCAAAAGGAGAGACAAGGAGATCTTAGAACAGTGATTAGATTGTGTCAGAATCATTTATAAACCTTAAAATTTAGGCATTTTTGGGGCTGGCCCTGTGGCCGAGTGGTTAAGTTTGCGCACTCCGCTGCAGGCGGCCCAGTGTTTCGTTAGTTCCAATCCTGGGCGCGGACATGGCACTGCTCATCAGACCACGCTGAGGCAGCGTCCCACATGCCACAACTAGAAGAACCCACAACGAAGAATACACAACTATGTACCGGGGGGCTTTGGGGAGAAAAAGGAAAAATAAAATCTTAAAAAAAAAAAAAAAAAAAAAAAAAAAAAAATTTAGGCATTTTTAGTTTGGCTATGAATTGGGACTATCTACATTTTTAGTCATCTTATTTAACAAAAATGTTCCCAATCTGACTCTCTATTAAAATTTCTTATAAAAATATGAGCTTTATGGAATAGACAGTAGATTTCTCAAAGAGATACGCAACTGATAGGAATTTTTAAATTTGCTTGATAAAACAGCATAGGACCTTTAACTTGCCTACATTTAATTAGCAAGAAGATTGAATTGTGAATTTAATTATTTTTTATTTTTTAATATTAAAAAACATTTATTTTTAAGGTCTGTAGAAGAAAGCTTTAATCTGTCAGATGAAAACTGTGGCCCTAACCCAGGAATTGTGAGGAAAAAGAAGATTGCAATTGGGGTAATCTTTTCATTGTCCAAAGATGAAGATGAAAATAACAAATTTAATGAATTCTTTTTTTCACATTTTCCTCTATTTGAAAGCCACATGAACAAATTAAAGAGTGCAATAGAACAGGTAAGCTTAGTCATGTCGTTGGTTTGTTTATATCCTTTGGTTTCCTTTGAATCTTACTCTCCTGATTAAGCATTATGTTTATTCATTTGGCAGAAAGATTAACAAGCACTGTGCAGGTATCCTACAAAGTGCTCTGGGAGATGCAAAATAGACTTCAGTTCTTTTTAAGCAGCTTACTGCCTAATAAAAGATCTAAGGTCATTCATCCATTCATTCAATAAATAAAAATTGAGGACCTGTAAGGTGGCAGGCACTGTTTCAGCAACTGAAGATAAAGATGAGGAAAAAAGCAACACTCCTGACCACATGGGACAGCAAATAAAAAGATGAATATGTAAGATTTTAGATGATAGTAAGTGCTGTGGAGAAAATTAAAACAGGGAAAGGTTTAAAGGAATGCTGGATGGAAGGATTGCTAATTGTTATAGGCTAGTCAGGAAGGTTCCTGATAAATGACATGTGGTCCAGAGATACAGAAGAAGTAAGCTACAACTATCTGAGAGAAGAATGTTCCAGATAGGGGCAAAAGACATGTGTCAGGAATAAACCTGATGCTTGGGCAACAGTAAGGAGACAAAAGTGGCTGGGTTAGAAGTAAGACCAGATCATGTAGAACCTCATAGGATACCATTGTAAGAGCATTGGCATTTACTCTTAAGAAAGATGGGAAACCATTGGAGGATTTTGTGTGGAAGAATGACTAATTTATTTATGAGAATTGCTCGCTCTTCTGGTGGAGAATAGATTTCTAGAGGCAAAGGTGGATGTTGTGGGACCAGTTAGGAGGCTGTTGCAATAATCCAGACGAGAGATGGTGTATCTTCAAACCAATTTAGTGATGAAATTGGTGAGAAGTGGTTGAATTTTTGGATATATTTGGAAAATTGAGCTAATGTGATTAGCTAATGGATTGAATTGGGGTGTACGAGAAAAAGAACAGTAGAGATTGACTCGAGATTTTTCACTTGAGCAGTAAGAAGAATGAAGTTGCCAGTACCAAAATGGGAAAGACTACAGATAGAACAGTTTTGGTGGAGGAAGATCAGGAGTTTGAGTTGCATCCTGGATGTCCAAGTGGTTATGTGAGTCTAGAGTTTAGGGGAAAGATCCAGGCTGGACAGTCACCAGTGTATAGATCATATTTAAAGCCATGAAATTGATTGAGGGAGAGAAGAGAGGAGAGGCCTGATTTGTGGAACATTTCAACAGTTAAAATTTGAGGAGTTAAGAAGGAACCAGCAGAGGAGACTGAGTATTGGCCATTCAAGTTGGAGGAAAAACAAGAAAGAGTCCTCTTTTTGGGGAGCCAAGTGAAGAAAGTGTTTTAAGAAGGTAGGAATGATTGTGTCAAATGCTGCTGCTGCTGTATATAATGAATTTATGTAAAATAAGACAATTGTGAATACAAGGTAGAGCATAAGGATAACTAAAAAAGGAGGACAAGAAAAGTGTTTTAGGAATTTGTAGGAAAGAAAAATGACTTCCTATTTGGAAGATATTTCATCTGGACTGCATCTTAAAGGATGTGTAGGATTTAAACATAAAGCTTTGCCATCCAGGCCTTTTCTGTCCTTGTACTTTTACTTGGTTGGGATTGTGTTGCATCGATATTGTTTCAATTTTGTGCCTATTTTTAAAAGCTCAGCATTGTAAAATATACATTTTCATGTCATTATAAATGGTTCTTAAATATATTTTAGTGGCTTTCCTCAATTTAAGTAACAATTTTTCTATTAGGCCATTTCTACTTTTTCAGAATTATAGGTACACAATAGTTAACATCTTGGTGAATTTTCCAGATTTTCTTGGTAAATTTTCCAATTTAGAACAGATTCCCAGAAGTCAAACTAATGAGTCACTGGGTGTAACTAAAGTTCTTAATCCCTGTGACAGTATGCAGAAGGGAAAGGATACAAAGAGGAGTAATGAGTGGTATGGCTGGCAGAGTTAATGGGGACCAGATCACAAAGAATCTGGAATGCTTGTCAGAAGATCTGACTTTGTTTTTAAGGCTGTCTCTAAATTGTGCTTTAGGAAGATTAATTTAGCACTGTGTTTAAAAGAGACTTGAATAAGAAGCCAGAGATGGGAAGACCAATTGGAATGGTCTAGAAAGCTGAGGATGCATTTCAGTAACTCACTAGTGATTGAAGATCATCTCCCTCTAGAGAAGACACTGATGTTAGTTATTCACATTAATTCTGCCAAAAGACAAGTAGATCGTCAGCAGTACTTTTTTACTGAACCAATGAGTAAAGGCTGTTTTCATTTACTTTTTCAGAACTTAGATAGTGGTGACATTTTCTTCAGTTGGCTGCTGTCCCTTTTTGTAGTCTGTTGTTACCAAAGTCAGTACACACAAGTTTAGCTGTGGCTGAACTGACATTTTGAATTACTGGGAGAAGTGTTTCAAGGTTGTATAAAACTTAAAATATTCAGGCACTATAATCATTAAAGATTGCTTTTTAAACGTTTTAAAGCTTTGAACATTCTACAACCTAAAGTGTACATTGCAGTACTCATAGTTGTCTGTATATTTGTTCATTTAACATCTCATTTCTTATTAAAGCTGAAAGATAAAGCTGAGTGAATGAATACTTTTATATAAATGAATAGAACTTAATTTTAGAAGTTCTATAGTTGTTAATTAATGATAGAATATAGTAAACACTGGACTGTCCAAAGAAGTTATATTTTAGGTCTAGTTTTCAAACTATCACTTTTTTTTTTTTTTTTTTTTTTTAAATAAAAAGCCCTGGATTTTGTTTCTGGGCACCTTGGGGATTATTTTGAAGTCTTTTCCACCTTTTGAGATCTATAATGTAATTTAAATGTTTTATCACTTTTAAATTTAAGAAAGAATACTGCTCAATTCTAGCTAAGGAATGTTCATTTCTTTATAAATTGGGAATCTCTAATCAGTTTGTAAAAAAATAAAGTAAGTTTTACTTTTACCCTATGAAGCTTTTGGATGTACATGAACATGATTTCTGGCCTGAAGTAGTCTGATCTTCTCTTAAATGTAAATTTAAAAAAAAATTATTTTTACTAATTAGTAATCACATATGTAATGTAGAAGTCCATTCTCTTTGAAAGAGTCTTAAAAATTACAAATTTTTTTTTACATTCATATCCTAATCCTGATCTTTCTGGCTACCTAAAGCAAAGTTTCTCAACCTTGGCTAAATATATTTTTAAGAAAACAAATATTATTAATAACTTGAGATATCTTTCAGTAGAATCTTTATATTTTAGATTTTAAAACAAGATTTACTTAGAACCATTATCTGCAAAATATTAGAGAAAACTATGAGCTATGGTTATTGAGTTATCATTGTATCTTGTTGTGTTGGGGGGGGAAGTTTTATGTAACCAAGAAACTGTCAGCATCACTTTCTTTGTGTGTTGACATTCTCTGATTTGACAGTTACAATAAGAGATTTAATATTGAAAAATTTGAATTTTGTTATAATCATTAATAGCCATCAAAGGTGCAAAAAGAAAGCCACTGTAATATCTGTGTGTCTTTGTATCTTTCTGGATAAGAATGGTGGTAGAGTGTTGTAGAAATATGTGATTTTGTTCACTTTTTTTCCGTATTTTGCCCATAGTCAATATAAGAATTAACTATTTGATTGCTTTCAAGGCTATGAAAATGAGTCGGAGATCAGCTGATGCCAGTCAGAGGAGTTTGGCATATAATCGAATAGTTGATGCTTTAAATGAATTCAGGTACATACTCTCCAGCTTTTCTTAATATAAAGTTTTGCAGTGTACACTGGAAGATTTATTTGTTTTCTTTAACTTATTCTAATAAAATTTAATTCCTTAGATTTCTTTGTCCCATATTCAAATAAGAGTGTAATTCAGTAGGCCATCAGCTCCTGTGTTATTAAATAGCAAATGTACTTGGAGTTTAAGCACATTTGGGAGCCATCAGTGGTATGGCTTTTAGTATTGGACCATTAGACAAGCATATATGACCAGAAGAGACCCTTGTTCTAGCAGAAATGTGCTTGTCCTGTCTTGGACTACTAGATGTAGGAACTGGTTAAGTGTTACTTAACCAGTGATAGTAATTAGATGTTCTAGCATAGGTGGAATACAAAGATACATGGATATAGGGAAGATGAACTTGATGTTCTGAATAATTCTGTTGCTTGATCCTTTCTCTAGATATGGCACGGCAGATAGTATTTCTTCTGCCAATGTTTTCTGGTACAAACAAAGCTTGTGCCTGGAGCTCCAACAGCTGCTGTAACTGTGCTCTAATTATACCAAGCAAACGTATTGCATATGAACTTATATTGGGAATCACAATAAGAGACTGATGTGTGTCTCCCTCAAAGGGATTCAATTCAAGGGCTAGCCCCATGGCGCAGTGGTTGTGTTCACACATTCCATTTTGGCAGTCTGACGTTCACCGGTTCAGATCCCAGCTGCAGACCTATGCACCACTTGTCAAGCCGTGCTGTGGCAGGTGTCCCACATATAGAGTAGAGGAAGATGGGCATGGATGTTAGCTCAGGGCCAGTCTTCCTCAGCAAAAAAGAGGAGGATTGGTGGCAGATGTTAGCTCAGGGCTAATCTTCCTCAACAAAACAACAACAAAAAAAAGAGGTTCGATTCAGATCTACGTCATCCTGTCAGTATTTCCTCCTTTAGGCTGGAGAGATAGTATACCCCATAGGGGGAGAACTCAGACTTTAGTATCTGACAGACTGTATCCTAACCCTAGCTCTGCCTTTTACTGTCCCTGGTGACCTTGGGCAGACTCATTAGCACTTTTGATGCTTAGCTTTCTAGTCTAAACTCTGTAATTCAATTAGTAATAATCTAATAGATTATTGTAAGGATAAAATGAGATAATGTGTTTAAAGTACTTAGCAGCATGCCTGACATTAATGACACCACTATTTTCTATGACAAATATAACCTACAGCAGTGCTTCTCAAACTTTAGTCATTCACATCCTCACGCTCACAGTTTTGCCAAATCTTCATATCATCTATGCCATTTTAATTTAAGGTTTCTCTTTAAATTGACCCTCTTATACCTTAATAAATGTATTTCATTTGAAACTTTATGCATCATTATTCTAAATGGGGAATCAATACCTTTTGTCCTTTTTTTAAATTCTCTCAAAAGGAGAGACTTCATTGCCTCAGCAGTGTTCTAGGAACTTTGAATCTATGATACAATAATTTATTTCCGTAAGTAAAAGTTATGTAGCATAGAAGAGTTCTGTATAATTTGTGTGTGTGTGTGTGGGAAGAAGATTGGCCATGAGCTAACATCTCTTGCCAATTGTCGTCTTTTTGCTTGGGGAAGATGGTCCCTGACCTCACATATGTGCCAGTCTTCTTCTATTTTGTATATGGGATGCCACCACAGCATGGCTTGATGAGCGGTGTGTAGGTTCAAGCCTGGGATCTAAACCTGCGAACCCCAGGCCGCCAAAGCGGAGTACACAATCTTAACCACTACGCCACTGGGCCAGCCCCAGAGTTCTGCTGTATAATTTTTGAAATGGAATTACAGATAACCATTAAATAGAAATTGATAAAAATAACCTAAACTAATAGAATATTTTATCATGTTTTTAATTTATTTAAATTGAAAAAGTTTACTTTATGGCTATTGTTTAATAATTATCTACTAGACTCAGTTATTGATAAGGAGAAAATTTTCCGTTCATTCGTCTTTTATTCACCATAATTTTTAGGATAAAAGACATTAAAAGTGAGTTTATAAGTCTTACATTTTTGTGCTGTAAACTCAGTGGTTAGGAGAAATGTAGAGAAAAACACATAAGAGAATTAACTTTCAATCTATATAAAATTTTTTTGTTTTGGAGGGAAATAATTTGCACAGGTAAAAATTATATTAGAGCTGTTATCTCTGCTCTATATTTATGTTAACATACTAATTTTAGGCCTTTCCTAAGTTATCAACTTAAGCATGATAAATAACACAGTATTTTACTTTGTGATAAAAAAATTTTTTGTTGTGGTAAGAAAACCATGTAGGGGGGCCAGCCCTGTGGCTGAGTGGTTAAGTTTTCGTGTTCCGCTTTGGGAGCCCACGGTTTCACTGGTTCAGATCCTGGGTGTGGACCTGGCACCACTCATCAAGCCATGCTGAGGTGGCATCCCACATAGCACAACCAAAAGGACCTATGACTAAAATATACAACTATGTGTTGGGAGCGCTTTGGGGAGAAGAAGAAGAAGAAAAAAGATTGGCAACAGATGTTAGCTCAGGTGCCAATCTTTAAAAAAGGTAAAAAACAGAAAAAAACCCCACATAACATTAAATTTAATGTCTTAACCATTTTTAAGCGTACAGTTCAGTAGGATTAAATATATTCACATTGTCATGTAACAAATCTCTAGAACTTTTTCATCTTGCAGCACTGAAACCATATACACTAAACACTAATTCAGTAATACAGTATTTTTAATCAGTATGTTTCTTTAATTTGTTGGCCTCTTTTTATATATGAATTATGTGCAAAGTTATTTTATTTGTTCATACCTATACCTTAAGAGTTCTAATTATTACATTTTCATGGACTCTCTCTCATTTATTTAAATCTTTGATTTCTTTCATCAAAGTTTATAGGTCTTGTACAGTTTTTAAAAATTTATACATAAATATTTCAGGGTTGGGTTTTTTGGGTGTTAATATAAAATTGTATTTATAATTTCAAATTTTAGCTGTTCATTGCTAGTGTATAAGAAAACAATTGACTTTTTGTATTAAACTTATATCCTGCCATCTTGCTATAATTGCTTATTAATTCCAAGAGGGTGTTTTGTTGATTCTTTCAGATTTTATACATAGGCAATCATGTTATCTGCAAGTAAAGACAGATGTATATCTTCATTCCCAATCTGTATAGCTTTTATTTCCTTTTCTTGCCTTATTGCATTAGCAAGGACTTCTGGTACAGTTTTGAAAAGCCAGTGGTAAGAGGTGACATCTTTGCCTCCTACCAGATCTTAGTGGGAAAGCTTCAGGTTTCTCACTGTTATGTGTGATATTAGCTGTAAGTTTCTTATAGATAATCTTTATCTATGTTGAGGAAATTCCTCTTTATTCCTAGTTTGCTGAGAGTTATTAGTTATTGATTAAATTTCTTAAATAGGTGTAGGACTATTCAGATTATCTGTTTCTTCCTGTGTGAGTTTGGTAGTTTGCATCTTTCAAGGAATTGATCCATTTCACCTCAGTCATCAAATATGTTGACATAGAGTTTTTCATATTATTTCTTAATTATCCTTTTAATGTCCATAGATCTGTAGAGATGACCCCTCTTTCATTTCTGATATTACTACTCTGTGTCATTTCTCTTTTTTTCTTGGTTATTTGGATAGAAGTTTATCAATTTTAATTCATCTTTTCAAGGAACCAGCCTCACTTTTCCATAATTTCCATGTTTGTTTGTTTTTCTTTTTTTTTTGTTTGTTTGTTTTGGTTTCCCTCCTAAATAGATTCTATGTCCTGCAGGTCTTTCATTTATAATCCACTATTATTGTACTGGAGCCGTGTTGATGTGGTAGTAAGGTGTTGGGGCTGAGGAGAGGAAGTGTTGTATAATCTTATGACTAAATCTTAGTTCTTTTTAGTAAGCCCGAGTTCCTGGGTTTTGACCTTCAGAAGCATTACTTACCCTTTTTTCCGCTCCCTTTAGAGGAACCAGGAAGGCTAGTGGGGATTGGAGTTGTCTAATTGCCCTTCTCTCAGTTCAGATAAGGCTCTTGTATAGGAGTTTCCCTTGGGAGGGCAGGCCTTTGTTTTGGAGAATGCTCTGGGTATACTTAAAAATTGTTACTTTTCCCCTCCCCCTATATGAAACATAAAGGGATTTTTTTGATCTTCACGATGAAAATCTGATGGTACTCCACGAAAGTGTGAGGGGCTCCCAGGAATTTTTATCACTCAATGCGAGTTCATACTCAGTCTCCAACAATTAGTCGATTCCTGTTTAAAGGTTCCTACCTGTTGTTGGCACTAGAGATGTCTGCTTTAGGGTAAGCTCATGGCAGCTGTGATTCTCTGTATCTCCCTATTTGTCCAGTTTTCAGGGTGATAATTTATTTTTTGACCTCTGTGATGTAGCTAAGGAAAATTGATTTTTAGTTCAACTTTTTTCTTGTGAGGATGAGTGTGATGACTTTGAAGCTCTTTATGTGTCAGCTGACATTGGAAGTTCAAATATTAATCAGTATTTTTATATTGAAATTGGAAGTGTTATATTTGAAATTGAAAGTTCAAATATCAATATTTTCATGGAAGAACACACTGAATTGAAATGGAATTGAAAACTTTATTTAGTTAAAACTAAGATTGATTTAGACTTTTATTTGGAACTTAAATTACTTTATAAGCCTGTGATTAAAAAAAAAAACCCATTCCATTACTGAGTTAATCACTAGACAGGCATAATGGGAACTGTTTCCCAAACTCCTAGAGTTCGAATCCATAGGTCTAGGGCCTAGCATTTCTACTTCACAAGCTGTTTTGGAAATTATCAACTTAAACTGTTTTCAAGGAGAAAAATTATTAAACTGTATCCTACTCCTGTACTAGTGCATTGCTAGGTATATCTGTAAACCTTCTCTTGTATGATTCCTGCTGTCCATCCCTTAGAGAGGATATGAGAGTCAGCATTTGAGAAGAATTTTGCTTTGAAATTGAGTTTCTAGGCTTGGAAATTCTTGAGAGAG